GGTGGGTGCCCCTATTTTCGTTTCATTTTTACACAAGTCTACAACACATCAAGATCAACATTTCCGGCGCCCGATAGTGAAGGAGACTGTAGGTGCGTGTCGAGTCGCGCAACTCGTCCTTGGCCCCGTCCAGGTCCCGCCGAGGGTCCGGCCAGGAAGCGTCACGACGTTGACCCCCGGGGGGCTGCTCCCACCCTCCCCTCGGTTGACCCCAGGGTAGGCCACTTTATAAGAACCCCTCTGGGGAGAGGAAAAGGGGGGTGGGGGGGGGGGACTCTAAATAAGTGATGGCCGAACTACGCACCCCTCCCCCGGGCCCTACGAATAGCCCCGCCAAGGGCGCGACCGAGACCACCACGGGCTTGTATCAGGACCTGTTATCCAAAGGCCTGCTGCGGCTGCGAGATTTCAGCGCCGCCGTCGAGCCACGTCGTTCAAGTTTACGGTCGCCGCGCCGAAGGCAAGCAGAGCAGGGTCTCCATTCGGTTTTTCAAGGTGATGCTCTCGGTTTTCTTTTCATAATCATTGTTTTCTACTCGTGTAATGGGAGGCGTAAACGCACACAGCCGGAAACGGAAAAGTCGAGGCGGACCGCGGCGCGGCGGTGGGACCGAGGGTGGGACTTTCACCCTGTTTTCCATCTACGATAGTCTTCACGCAAACCACAGTTATTTGACTTCTCGCGAACTCGACTCATTTTCCTTTCTATTTTTTTTTTAAAGATTATTTTTCGAAACGTACTTGGGGGCTGCCGCGTGAAGCTAATAATCGAAACGTGAGACTGTCGAGGGGGGCGCGGCGGCGACAGCGACGGCTCGTGTCTCTGGCATGCAAAGGTCCGCACGGACCGGGTTGGGGGTGGTTCGCGAGCGGTTGGAGTTAAAGACGTGGCTCAAACGAGTCGAGGGAATGTTTTCTTTCTTCTTGATTTTTTTGACCCGGGCGGGATTTACGACCGAGCACGAGGGGTGTAGGACTGGTCGAAGGAACTGAGTGGCCAGCTCATTGGGGTCAGCAGGCCATCAAGACTATTCCTTAGGGCCTAAGGGCCGAGCCGGGGGGCGAAAGTAGAACGGCGCGCGTGGCGATTCAGACCAAGGCCACAGGGCTGCAGGGGGATGGCGCGAGCGAGAGAGAGAGAGAGGGGGGGGGGGGGTTGTCGGTGTGAGTGCGAGCGTGTGAGAGGCACATGTCGACGGTGTGTTCTGGTATCTGCTCTCTCTCTCTCCCTCTCTCCTTCTATCTCTCTCTTTCCCTCTCTGCCAGTGGGGTTGTCCAGTGAGTGACTGCCCTCTGCGGGTTTGCCGTGCTCCGTCTGGAGGGAGGGCCCGACCTAACCGCACGCTACGGCTACGGACAGACAGCGGGATGGGGAAGAGGGGGGGGGGTAAGTTCCTCACCGCACGCTGACCACAACCTGAAAGCTTCACCAACACACGAAGGCGTCTACCTGCCCCCCCCCCCTCCTCCCCGCTTAGTGGCGCATCACCTCCCCATTTAGAACACACAGAGGGGTCAGCCGAGGTGTCGTCGTCATTGGACAACCCCCTTGACCGCTCAAAATGGCCTTAAACAATAGAATAAAAGTAACAACAACATACAGTAATAATGGTGAAATAATACGGGTCGCGATTGCGAGCGGTTGCCACCCCGAGCTTGTAATAATAATTATCGCACCCGGGGTGGGTGGGACTTCCCCCGCCGCCGCCGCAGGGCCGCGGGGCCGCGGGTCACACGAGACGACGCCGTCGGCCGCCCCCATTCCTCCCCCGTGTAAAGCAATCAGGCGTCGTCCGGTCGCGGTCCGGCCGGTAAAACTTTCTCGGGAGGATACACGTGTTGGTGTGTCGCCCGGCGGGGGAGGAAGGGGAGAGAG